GAACCACGCACTACAAAATGCACGTTTTCTCCCACAGTACATGCTGGTTGGGTATTTCCCCAGACAAACCTGCACTGGCTCCTCATCACTGAGGTTGTCAGGCACTAATGGAGGTGACGGTGCTTGTAATATCCTGGTGGTGCTGCTGCTAGGTTCGGTCTTGGCGGCTGCAGGCCCCTCCTCGGGTTGGTTACCTCCTACAGTGAGGGAAAAAAGTATTTGATCCCCTGCTGATTTTGTACGTTTGCCCACTGACAAAGACATGATCGGTCTATAATTTTAATGGTAGGTTTATTTGAACAGTGAGAGACAGAATAACAACAACAAAATCCAGAAAAACACATGTCAAAAATGTTATAAATTGATTTGCATTTTAATGAGGGAAATAAGTATTTGACCCCTCTGCAAAACATGACTTAGTACTTGGTGGCAAAACCCTTGTTGGCAATCACAGAGGTCAGACGTTTCTTGTAGTTGGCCACCAGGTTTGCACACATCTCAGGAGGGATTTTGTTCCACTCCTCTTTGCAGATCTTCTCCAAGTCATTAAGGTTTCGAGGCTGACGTTTGACAACTCGAACCTTCAGCTCCCTCCACATATTTTCTATGGGATTAAGGTCTAGAGACTGGCTAGGCCACACCAGGACCTTAATGTGCTTTTTCTTGAGCCACTCCTTTGTTGCCTTGGCTGTTTGTTTTGGGTCATTGTCATGCTGGAATACCCATCCACGACCCATTTTCAATGCCCTGGCTGAGGGAAGGAGGTTCTCACCCAAGATTTGACGGTACATGGCCCCGTCCATCGTCCCTTTGATGCGGTGAAGTTGTCCTGTCCCCTTAGCAGAAAAACACCCCCAAAGCATAATGTTTCCACCTCCATGTTTGACGGTGGGGATGGTGTTCTTGGGGTCATAGGCAGCATTCCTCCTGCTCCAAACACGACGAGTTGAGTTGATGCCAAAGAGCTCGATTTTGTTCTCATCTGACCACAACACTTTCACCCAGTTCTCCTCTGAATCATTCAGATGTTCATTGGCAAACTTCAGACGGCCCTGTATATGTGCTTTATTGAGCAGGGGGACCTTGCGGGCGCTGCAGGATTTCAGTCCTTCACGGCGTAGTGCGTTACCAATTGTTTTCTTGGTGACTATGGTCCCAGCTGCCTTGAGATCATTGACAAGATCCTCCCGTATAGTTCTGGGCTGATTCCTCACCGTTCTCATGATCATTGCAACTCCACAAGGTGAGATCTTGCATGGAGCCCCAGGCCGAGGGAGATTGACAGTTATTTTGTGTTTCTTCCATTTGCGAATGATCACACCAACTGTTGTCACCTTCTCACCAAGCTGCTTGGCGATGGTCTTGTAGCCCATTCCAGCCTTGTGTAGGTCTATAATCTTGTCCCTGCCATCCTTGGAGAGCTCTTTGGTATTGGCCATGGTGGAGAGTTTGGAATCTGATTGATTGATTGCTTCTGTGGACAGGTGTCTTTTATACAAGTAACAAGCTGAGATTAGGAGCACTCCCTTTAAGAGTGTGCTCCTAATCTCAGCTCGTTACCTGTATAAAAGACACCTGGGAGCCAGAAATCTTTCTGATTGAGAGGGGGTCAAATACTTATTTCCCTCATTAAAATGCAAATCAATTTATAAAAAAATGTACATGCGTTTTTCTGGCCCTCACTGTTCAAATAAACCTACCATTAAAATTATAGACTGATCATTTCTTTGTCAGTGGGCAAACGTACAAAATCAAATACTTTTTTCCCTCACTGTATGTCACCAGGCGGCAAGACGGTTAGCCAGGTGCCTTTGCTGCTGGGCTCGGCTGCCTTGGCCTCTGTGGCAGGCTTCTCCCCCTCCCCTACGCTTTGATCCGATGCTGCCGTTGTGCCCTGGCGAAGCCACTTTCTAATATCCATCCTGCTATCAGCTACCTACCTAACTGTTAACATTAGCTACATTCCATCTAGCTGCGCGGTTAACTTTTTTTCTCCGTACTACATAACTTTGAAAGTAAACCTAAATGGTCAAATTGACCCCACCCTTCTACTGTGAAGGCCAATCAAAAGTAGTTTTTTTTCAACTGGTAAAACGTGTATGATGTACGTATGATGCGTGCAAGGGAGTTGCGTGAATGAAGCATACACAACAAATCGGTTGGGCATGATGGAGGGGGCAGATTGTGGGACAGAATAGGGATACAAAACTGAGGGGGCAAAATATTCAAACTAAGGGGGCATTGCCCCCTTCTGCACCCTTGTGGCACCGTGCTTGTGAGGGAGGGAGGGAGAGACCGGGGGTTTGAGTGAGAGACAGAGGGTGAGACAGACAGACGGAGGAAGAGAGAGACTGAGGGAGGGAGGGACAGACTGCGGGAGGGAGAGACAGACGGAGGGAGAGACAAGGAAAGAAAGAGATGAGACACATAATGGTTAATATTACAACCTGCCCTGACCGCATGATTGACATTTACATTTAAGTCATTTAGCAGACGTTCTTATCCAGAGCGACTTACAAATTGATGCATTCATCTTATGATAGCCAGTGGGACAACCACTCCTTTTTTTATTTTTATGGGGGGGGGGGGTGGGAGTGGGGGTAGAAGGATTACTGTTATACTATTCCAGGTATTCCGTAAAGAGGTAGGGTAGTCTCTATATCTGCCTTGAGCTGCTCTTGTGAGTGGAAGGCAGGGCAGGCTGCTGAAATCATGTTGGCTGCTTGGTTCAGGGCGAGTAACTGGCGTCAGAGTAGGGAGAGAAAGAGGGAGGGAGAGAACATCAGACTAGGGAGAGAAAGAGGGAGGGAGAGAACATCAGACTAGGGAGAGAAAGAGGGAGGGAGAGAACATCAGACTAGGGAGAGAAAGAGGGAGGGAGAGAACATCAGACTAGGGAGAGAAAGAGGGAGGGAGAGAAGAAACATGGACTGACTTCAATACCGGAAAGTGGCCCACACATTGTAGGCTATAATCTGTCCCACTTGATCATGATAAGTGCTACTAAAACTAGTGGTCTATAAAAGGTTGTAAGACAAGTACTAGGCTATGTAGCAATGTGTACAGTTGGCTACACTGCGGTTACACTGCACTGTGGCATATATGGCATAAACTGGCATAAAATATATAAATAGTTTTAGTAGCACTTACCATGATCAAGTGGGACAGATTATAACCTACAATGTGTGGGCCACTTTCCGGTATTGAAGTCAGTCCATGCACACTACCAGTCAAAAGTTTGGACACACCTACTCATTCAAGGGTTTTTCTTAATTTGTACTATTTTTACATTGTAGAATAATAGTGAAAACATCAAAATAATGAAATAACACATATGGAATCTTGTTGTAAAAAAAAAAAAAAAAGTGTTAAACAAATCAAAATATATTTTATATTTGAGGTTCTTCAAATAGCCAGTTGGGAGATTTATAAGGATTTAACGATTCACGATCTCCCTTTCAAATGTTTAAGATATTAGTGTGTGTGTGTGTGTTTTCCTCCCTGCCTGGGTTATTTTAAAATCCATTCTGCTTCCTGGCTGCCCTGACTACAGCTAGCCTACCAGTAGAACATCCTGACTGCCCTGACTACAGCTAGCCTACCAGTAGAACATCCTGACTGCCCTGACTACAGCTAGCCTACCAGCAGAACATCCTGGCTGCCCTGACTACAGCTAGCCTACCAGTAGAACATCCTGACTGCCCTGACTACAGCTAGCCTACCAGTAGAACATCCTGACTGCCCTGACTACAGCTAGCCTACCAGTAGAACATCCTGACTGCCCTGACTACAGCTAGCCTACCAGCAGAACATCCTGACTGCCCTGACTACAGCTAGCCTACCAGTAGAACATCCTGACTGCCCTGACTACAGCTAGTCTACCAGCAGAACATCCTGACTGCCCTGACTACAGCTAGCCTACCAGTAGAACATCCTGACTGCCCTGACTACAGCTAGCCTACCAGTAGAACATCCTGACTGCCCTGACTACAGCTAGCCTACCAGTAGAACATCCTGACTGCCCTGACTACAGCTAGTCTACCAGCAGAACATCCTGACTGCCCTGACTACAGCTAGCCTACCAGTAGAACATCCTGACTGCCCTGACTACAGCTAGCCTACCAGCAGAACATCCTGGCTGCCCTGACTACAGCTAGCCTACCAGTAGAACATCCTGACTGCCCTGACTACAGCTAGCCTACCAGTAGAACATCCTGACTGCCCTGACTACAGCTAGCCTACCAGCAGAACATCCTGGCTGCCCTGACTACAGCTAGCCTACCAGCAGAACATCCTGACTGCCCTGACTATAGCTAGCCTACCAGCAGAACATCCTGACTGCCCTGACTACAGCTAGCCTACCAGCAGAACATCCTGGCTGCCCTGACTACAGCTAGCCTACCAGCAGAACATCCTGACTGCCCTGACTACAGCTAGCCTACCAGCAGAACATCCTGACTGCCCTGACTATAGCTAGCCTACCAGCAGAACATCCTGGCTGCCCTGACTACAGCTAGCCTACCAGCAGAACATCCTGGCTGCCCTGACTACAGCTAGCCTACCAGTAGAACATCCTGGCTGCCCTGACTACAGCTAGCCTACCAGCAGAACATCCTGACTGCCCTGACTATAGCTAGCCTACCAGCAGAACATCCTGGCTGCCCTGACTACAGCTAGCCTACCAGCAGAACATCCTGGCTGCCCTGACTACAGCTAGCCTACCAGTAGAACATCCTGGCTGCCCCGACTACAGCTAGCCTACCAGTAGAACATCCTGGCTGCCCTGACTACAGCTAGCCTACCAGCAGAACATCCTGGCTGCCCTGACTACAGCTAGCCTACCAGCAGAACATCCTGGCTGCCCCGACTACAGCTAGCCTACCAGCAGAACATCAGTATATCTGCTTTGTTGTTTTCTGTACTAGCCTACTGGAGGACCAACAGAACCGATTGAGGAAATCAAGGAAACGGCAACAATGTTCTCTTCTTCTCTCCCACAGTTACGTTGCAAGCTCTTTGCAAAGATGGGGGACGACCGACCTTTTGTGTGCAACTGTCCCGGCTGTGGACAGGTAAGCCGTCTACCTTTACCTTGTCTTGGGTTTCAGGTGTGTGAGTGTCTGTGTTTCTGAGTTCGGTTTTACCTGTGTGCTAGTGTTTATGTATGTTTTACTGTTTGTGGCAGTTGATCGTGGAATTAATATAGTCTAGTGAATATCCTCATTTCGTTTGGATTTCACTGTGTGTGTGTGTGTGTGTGTGTGTGTGTGTGTGTTTACAGTTGCGTTTGTGTGGTTGTACTGTACTTGTTTGTGTATTTTGCTGTCTGGCAGTTGACTGGAATAACTATATTTTGAGTCCGAGTCCTCAGTTGATTGGAAAGTTGAAACATGGTATTGGTGGTACTGTACTCCAGTGTTTCCCCTATATTCATTAATAATAATTTGGGATGGTAAAACGTTTTCAGTGTAAACTTAAACGACTAAAACCAGATATAAAGTATGTAGAAAAGATAATGGCGCAATACATATTTTTATTCTATATTTTTGTAGGTTTTTGATGTGTTTTTTCCCATCCGATTTATGCTTTGGCCACAAATAAGAGTATAGGATGAGTCAACAACATTATTTGGGAATGAGTTAACAGAATATTAACTTTTAAAAGTCAGATTTTCACTGGACAGTTACTTTAAAACTGCACGTTTTCTCTTAGCTCCATGGCAAAATGTGTAGAATTGCAGGAAACTAGCTTTGAAACTGTGAATGTTCTCTCCGCCCCATGACAAAATGTATAGAATTGCAGGAAATTACTTTAAAACAGCAAAATTGTCTCTGCAGTTAGGAGGAGGGCCCCCCTTTGCCACCGCTGCTGAACGAAATCCTAGGGGAAACACTGTACTCATACTGGGAAGCTGCTACGGTCATCCACCTCTTCAAAGGGATCCAAACTGTTACAGACCTATATCCATCCTGCCCTGCCAAAGTATTTGAAAGCCAAGTTAACAAACAGATCACCGACCATTTCGAATCCTACCCGTACCTTCTCCGCTATGCAATCCGGTTTCCGAGCTGGTCATGGGTGCACCTCAGCCACGCTCAAGGTCCTAAACGATATTATAACCGCGATAAAAGACAGTACTGCGCAGCCCTCTTCATCGACCTGGCCAAGGCTTTCGACTCTTGTCAACCACCGCATTCTTATTCGCAGACTAAATAGCCTTGGTTTCTCTAATGACTGCCTCGCCTGGTTCACCAACTACTTCTCAGATAGAGTTCAATGTGTCAAATCGGAGGGCCTGTTGTCTGGACGTCTGGACCTCTGGCCGTCTCTATGGGGGTGCCACGGGGTTCAATTCTCGGGCTGACTCTATTCTCTGTGTATATCAATGATGTCGCTCTTGCTGCTGGTGACGCTCGGATCCACCTCTATGCGGACAACACCATTTTGTATACATCTAGCCCCTCATTGGACACTGTGTTAACAAACCTCCAAACGAGCTTCAATGCCATACAACACTCCTTCCGTAGCCTCCAACTGCTCTTAAACACTAGTAAAACTAAATGCATGCTCTTCAACCGAACGCTGTTTGCACCCGCCCACCCAACTAGAATCACTACTCTCGGCGGGTCTGACCTAGAGTATGTGGACAACTACAAATACCTAGGTGTCTGGTTAGACTGTAAACTCTCCTTCCAGACTCACATTAAGGTTCTCCAATCAAAAGTTAGATCTAGAATCAGCTTCCTATTTCGCAACAAAGCCTCCTTCACTCATGCTGCCAAACATGCCCTCGTAAAACGGACTATCCTACCGATCCTTGACTTCGGCGATGTCATTTACAAAATAGCCTCCAACACTCTAATCAGCAAATTGGATGTAGTCTATCACAGTACCATCCGTTTTGTCACCAAAGCCCCATATACTACCCACCACTGAGACCTGTACACTCTTGTTGGCTGGCCCTCACTACATATTCGTCGCCAAACCCACTGGCTCCAGGTCAACTATAAATCACTGCTAGGCAAATCCCCGTCTTATCTTAGCTCACTGGTCACCATAGCAACACCCACCCGTAGTCTGCGCTCCAGCAGGTATATCTCACTGGTCATCCCCAAAGCCAACACCTCCTTTGGCCGCCATTCCTTCCAGTTCTCTGCTGCCAATGACTGGAACGAACTGCAAAAATCTCTGAAGCTGGAGACTCTTATCTCCCTCACTAACTTTAAGCGTCAGTTGTCAGAGCAGTTTACCGATCACTGCACCTGTACACAGCCCATCTGTAATTAGCCCACCCAACTACCTCATCCCCATATTGTTATTTATTTTGCTAATTTGCACCCCAGTATCTCTATTTGCACATCATCTTTTGCACATCTATCATTCCAGTGTTAATATGAAATTGTAACTATTTTGCACTATGGCCTATTTATTGCCTTACCTCCATAACTTACTACATTCGCACACACTGTATATATATTTTCTGTTGTATTTTTGACTATGTTTTGTTTACCCCATATGTAACTCTGTGTTGTTTTTTATCGCACTGCTTTGCTTTATCTTGGCCAGGTCACAGTTGTAAATGAGAACTTGTTCTCAACTGGCTTACCTGGTTAAATAAAGGTGGAGGAAAAAAAAAAAACATTCTGAAATGAATGACATTTCCCATTGCAGTGGTGGAACATGGGTAGCGAGTAGACACTTATTTTAAACATCAACAGGATTTAGCTCTGCTGCCACTGAAAGTGTCCACATGGACAACACAACACATTTATATTTTCTGTTTCTGTTCTGTTGCCAACTCCTTGTGAAATGATCATGTTTGGTGTGACATTGAGTGGCAAGAGAGGACAGACACATCTGTGATCAGACTAGGTCTCTTCCACTTTGGTTAATGAGCTCACACATGGACAATAACACACTGCCGTTCAGCCAGGCGACAAACACTGATCACACTGTCTGACAGTGACAGCTAGCGCTATTGTGAAACAATGCGGATGTATCTAATGCAATTCATTTTCTTTGTAAGAGCCCACATGGACAACACAACACACTGGCATTCAGGCCACACACACACACACACACACACACACACTGATCCCACTGATAGTGATGGCTAGCTAGTCAACATGGGTCTTTCTGAAGCTTCTGTTTCTTTATGAGAGCCCACATGGACAATGCACTGATCACTGAGAAATACCGCTAGCCTAGCGGTGTTGTGATACAATGCTGGCAAGGTGTTGTCTCAGCCAGCCAGCCAGCCACTAAGCCAGCCAGCCAGCCACTAAGCCAGCCAGCCAGCCACTAAGCCAGCCAGCCAGCGAGTCACAGGCAGCAGGCAGCACAGATGACACATTTTTCAACCTGTTTCTGTCTCACTTCTACAGCCTGCAGACAAAAGAGGTTAGAGACCCATATTGACTCAGCTTGGCACTACATGTCTATGGCTGGCTGGTTGCGTCCCAGATAGAACCCTATTCCATTTATAGTGCACTACTTTAGACCAGAGGGGGCTATAATAATATGGGTTCTGGCCAGAAACAACATGTCTGTATAATAATATGGGTTCTGGCCAGAAACAACATGTATGTATAATAATATGGGTTCTGGCCAGAAACAACATGTATGTATAATAATATGGGTTCTGGCCAGAAACAACATGTATGTATAATAATATGGGTTCTGGCCAGAGAACATGGTGGCCAGAGAACATGGTGGCCAGAGAACATGGTGGCCAGAGAACATGGTGAATAACAGTCATAACTAGAAGCGTAGTATTTTCAATGTCTTTTGCTCATAGGGATATTTCCATTTCCATTTTTAGTCATTTAGCAGACGCTCTTATCCAGAGCGACTTACAGTTAGTTACAGTTAGTGAGTGCATACATTTTCATACTGGCCCCCCGTGGGAAACGAACCCACAACCCTGGCGTTGCAAGCGCCATGCTCTACCAACTGGTTCTTCCCTTTTGGCTAGTGATGACATGACCTATAAGCCTCATTAGGAAACATTATAAAGGTTCTCACATGCTTATCACAGCATCATAAGGCATTGTACCAGCAGGCTTTACCACGTGTTTTACTGCGGACAGCTTGAAGACGACAGATGAGTGTGGAGAGGAAATGTAATTGCAAATTAGTAAGGTTATTACCTTGTACCTTATTATATAATAGATAATTAGTGTTGTACTCTTTGCTGTCCTAAGGTATTTAGTGGTTAGACAACTCAAGCATGTACCGCAGACACAACGGCACAGCATGCGTCTGGAATGAATCATTTGTTGTTTGCTCATTAATCCTCTCAGAACCTTCAGCGACTCAACTTCAAGTTACCACAACAGAGTTTAGATTCTACTTGACTTGCTCATGTAAGGACAATAATGATGTTACATATTTCATTTTTTGACAACATTTATTACTCCGTGACAAGAAAGGAAAATATATACTGAAATGGATGTTTAGATAAAAGGTACAGGATGGTGTTTTAAGGTTTGGTTGAATGAACACTGATGTCTACTCTAGCCTCTCTGTAGCAGACTTGCCAGTTTTTTCCCGTAGTTTTAAATTGTGTGTGTGTGTGTGCTATCATCATAGCAGAGTGTGTTGGTGCGCTTTGGGTGTGTTGTGATACGCTCACACTCAAACACTTGGCCCTTTCTAATGTGTGTGAAGGCTATGTTGTTCTTCAGTCAAAACCGAACAGAAGTGTGATTTTATTCAGGTAATTGCACTCTGATATCCAGACCAGGTCTTGTCCAGGCCTGTCCGCCATGCAATGGAATGTAGGCTATGCAATTGTGGAAACCTGATGTGAGTCTGGCCTTTCCAAGAATCCTTCCTTACAATTCGAGTTTCCATCAGAGTTTTCCCTTCAAGTTTACAGTGACAGGGTCTCCATTTTGACTTGTTTGCTATTTATTGTTAGATATGATAATCCTTGCTTCCAGTATCTCCTACGTACGTACAGTGCCTTCGGAAAGTATTCAGACCCCTTGACGTTTTCCACATTTTGTTACGTTACAGCCTTATTCTAAAATTGATGAAATTTAAAAAAAGATCCTCAGCAATCTACACACAATACCCCATAATGACAAAGCGAAAACTGGTTTTTAGAAATGTGTGCTAATTTGTTAAAAATAAAAAACAGAAATACCTTTATTGTGCATGCTTTTTCCATTGATCATCCTTGATCTGTTTCTACAACTTGATTGGAGTCCACCTGTGGTAAATTCAATTGATTGGACATGATTTGGAAAGGCACACATCTGTCTATATAAGGTCCCACAGTTGACAGTGCATGTCAGAGCAAAAACCAAGCCATGAGGTCGAAGGAATTGTCCGTAGAGCTCCGAGACAGGATTGTGTCGAGGCACAGATCTGGGGAAGGGTACCAAAACATTTCTGCAGCATTGAAGGTCCCCAAGAACACAGTGGCCTCCATCATTCTGAAATGGAAGACGTTTGAAACCACCAAGACTCTTCCTAGGGCTGGCCGCCCGGCCAAACTGAGCAATCGGGGGAGAAGGGCCTTGGTCAGGGAGGTGACCAAGAACCCGATGGTCACTCTGACAGAGTTCTAGAGTTCCTCTGTGGAGATGGGAGAACCTTCCAGAAGGACAACCATCTCTGCAGCACTCTACCAATCAGGCCTTTATGGTACAGTGGCCAGACGGAAGCCACTCCTCAGTAAAAGGCACATGACAACCCGCTTGGAGTTTGCCAAAAGGAACCTAAAGACTCAGACCATGAGAAACAAGATTCTGAATGCCAAGCGTCACGTCTGGAGGAAACCTGGCACCATATCTACGGTGAAGCATGGTGGTGGCAGCATCATGCTGTGGGGATGTTTTTCAGCAGCAGGGACTGGGAGACTAGTCAGGATCGAGGGAAAGATGGACGGAGCAAAGTACAGAGAGATCCTTGATGAAAACCTATACCAGCAAGACAACGACCCTAAGCACACAGCCAAGACAACCCAGGAGTGGCTCCGGGACAAGTCTCTGAATGTCCTTGACTGAACCAACCAGAGCCAGGACTTGAACCCGATCAAACATCTCTGGAGAGACCTGAAAATAGCTGTGCAGCAACGCTCCCCATCCAACCTGACAGCTTGAGAGGATCTGCAGAGGAGAATGGGAGAAACTCCCAAAATACAGGTGTGCCAAGCTTGTAGCGTCATACCCAAGAAGACTTGAGGCTGTACTTGCTGCCAAAAGTGCTTCAACAAAGTACCAAGTAAAGGGTTTGAATACTTATGGAAATGTTATATTTCATTTTTCCATTTTTTATACATTTCCAAAAGGGAGGGAGAGACGAGATGGCAACCAACCAAGCCGACTCGCGCTATAGTAGACCAATAACTGCCATAGCTAGGTTATTTATTATCAAATATGATTACGTAGTGCCTGTTTTTGACTGCTTCAAACCGGGAGAAGCTAGTTAAGATAGCTAACGTTAGCTAGCTAGGCTAACTGAGGCTGCAGTGCATGCGCCTTCTCATCCTACAGTTACAAATAACAACACGGTTCAGAATATAAAGTAGCAGCCTCCCTACCTATTGGCTCTTGGTCATTGTAGCCTATCCTTCTCCTTTACATTTTATTTCCATCATTTTAATTCCATCTTCCATTGATTAGATATCTCCTAACTTTTGCCACACAGAGGCTCTATGACTGACTGTAGCCTATTGCCGCTTTGATGACTTATGATTGGCCAACAACAACAAGCACAAGCTGGACGCGCGACGCTCCACTCTGGTGAAAAGCAAGAGCAGCATCATATATGATAACATTTCTCTCTGTACTGCAGCAGTCGCATTCGGTTCTGTACGGACCCTTCCTGACAGGCCAGTTAAAGTAACATATACTCGAGACCCGTGACAATCATATCAGATCCGTGACATTATTTAGAATTCTGGATACGGACCCGCTCGGGTCCCGGATCGGGTCTCGGATGTTTGGATACAGGTTGATCGGTGAAGACCTCTAGTATGTATGTACAATCAGGGAGATTAATTTTAGATTGTTTCCCCGAGCCCGACCCAGTCATCTTGGTAATAGGAAAGATACTATCAGTCTGTGAGACATGTACTAGTGTATTGGTGATGCTGCCGCTAGCTGGTACTGGCTACAAATATGCTCCTGTCAGTTTCCACTTGGTGCTCTGCTCTCTCTCTCTGCTCTCTCTCTCTGCTCTGTCTCTCCCCACTCTCTCTCTGCTCTGTCTCCCCCCCTCTGCTCTGTCTCTCCCTCCCCCTCTCTCTTCTCTGTCCCCCCCCCCCCCCCCCCCGCCCCTGCGCTGTCTCTCTCCCCCCTTCTCTCTCTGCTCTGTCTCTCCCCCTCTCTCTCTGCTGGGCCCCCACCCTCTCTGCTCTCTCAATTCAATTCAATTTCAATTTAAGGGCTTTATTGGCATGGGAAACGTGTGTTAACATTGCCAAAGCAAGTGAAGTAGATAGTAAACAAAAGTGAAATAAACAATAAATATTAACAGTAAACATTACACTCAGAAGTTTCAAAAGAATAAAGACATTTCAAATGTCATATTATGTATATATACAGTGTTGTAACAATGTGCAAATAGTTAAAGTACAAATGGGAAAATAAATAAACATAAATATGGGTTGTATTTACAATGGTGTTTGTTCTTCACTGGTTGCCCTTTTCTTGTGGCAACAGGTCACAAATCTTGCAGCTGTGATGGCACACTGTGGTTTTTCACCCAGTAGATAAGGGAGTTTATCAAAATTGGGTTTGTTTTCAAATTCTTTGTGGATCGCTGTAATCTGAGGGAAATATGTGTCTCTAATATGGTCATACATTTGGCAGGAGGTTAGGAAGTGCAGCTCAGTTTCCACCTCATTTTGTGGGCAGTGTGCACATAGCCTGTCTTCTCTTGAGAGCCAGGTCTGCCTACGGCGGCCTTTCTCAATAGCAAGGCTATGCTCACTGAGTCTGTACATAGTCAAAGCTTTCCTTAAGTTTGGGTCAGTCACAGTGGTCAAGTATTCTGCCACTGTGTACTCTCTGTTTAGGGCCAAATAGCATTCTAGTTTGCTCTGTTTTTTTTTGTTTGTTCTTTCCAATGTGTCAAGTAATTCTCTTTTTGTTTTCTCATGATTTGGTTGGGTCTAGTTGTGTTGTTGTTGTTGTTGTTGTCCTGGGGCTGTGTGGGGTCTGTTTGTGTTTGTGAACAGAGCCCCAGGACAAGCTTACTTAGGGGACTCTTCTCCAAGTTCATCTCTCTGTAGGTGATGGCTTTGTTATGGAAGGTTTGGGAATCGCTTCCTTTTAAGTGGTTATAGAATTTAACGGCTCTTTTCTGGATTTTGATAATTAGCGGGTATTGGCCTAATTCTGCTCTGCATGCATTATTTGGTGTTTTATGTTGTATACGGAGGATGTTTTTGCAGAATTCTGCATGCAGAGTCTCAATTTGGTGTTTGTCCCATTTTGTGAATTCTTGGTTGGTGAGCGGACCCCAGACCTCAGAACCATAAAGGGCAATGGGTTCTATAACTGATTCAAGTATTTTTAGCCAGATCCTAATTGGTATGTCAAATTTTATGTTCCTTTTGATGGCATAGAAGGCCCTTCTTGCCTTGTCTCTCAGATCGTTCACAGCTTTGTGGAAGTTACCTGTGGCGCTGATGTTTAGGCCGAGGTATGTATAGTTTTTTGTGTGCTCTAGGGCAACGGTGTCTAGATGGAATTTGTATTTGTGGTCCTGGCAACTGGACCTTTTTTGGAACACCATTATTTTTGTCTTACTGAGATTTACTGTCAGGGCCCAGGTCTGACAGAATCTGTGCAGAAGATCTAGGTGCTGCTGTAGGCCCTCCTTGGTTGGTGACAGAAGCACCAGATCGTCAGCAAACAGAAGACATTTGACTTCAGATTCTAGTAGGGTGAGGCCGGGTGCTGCAGACTGTTCTAGTGCCCTCGCCAATTCGTTGATATATATGTTGAAGAGGGTGGGGCTTAAACTGCATCCCTGTCTCACCCCACGGCCCTGTGGAAAGAAATGTGTGTGTTTTTTGCCAATTTTAACCGCACACTTGTTGTTTGTGTACATGGATTTTATAATGTCGTATGTTTTTCCCCCAACCCCACTTTCCATCAATTTGTATAGCAGACCCTCATGCCAAATTGAGTCAAAAGCTTTTTTGAAATCAACAAAGCATGAGAAGACTTTGCCTTTGTTTTGGTTTGTTTGTTTGTCAATTAGGGTGTGCAGGGTGAATACGTGGTCTGTCGTACGGTAATTTGGTAAAAAGCCAATTTGACATTTGCTCAGTACATTGTTTTCACTGAGGAAATGAACTAGTCTGCTGTTAATGATAATGCAGAGGATTTTCCCAAGGTTGCTGTTGACGCATATCCCACGGTAGTTATTGGGGTCAAATTTGTCTCCACTTTTGTGGATTGGGGTGATCAGTCCTTGGTTCCAGATGTTGGGGAAGATGCCAGAGCTAAGGATGATGTTAAAGAGTTTAAGTATAGCTAATTGAAATTTGTGGTCTGTATATTTTATCATTTCATTGAGGATACCATCAACACCACAGGACTTTTTGGGTTGGAGGGTTTGTATTTTATCCTGTAGTTCATTCAATGTAATTGGAGAATCCAGTGGGTTCTGGTAGTCTTTAATAGTTGATTCTAAGATTTGCATTTGATCATGTATATTTTTTTGCTGTTTGTTCTCTGTTATAGGGCCAAAAAGATTGGAGAAGTGGTTTACCCATACATCTCCGTTTTGGATAGATAGCTCTTCGTGTTGTTGTTTGTTTAGTGTTTTCCAATTTTCCCAGAAGTGGTTAGAGTCTATGGATTCTTCAATTACATTGAGCTGATTTCTGACATGCTGTTCCTTCTTTTTCCGTAGTGTATTTCTGTATTGTTTTAGTGATTCACCATAGTGAAGGCGTAGGCTCAGGTTTTCTGGGTCTCTATGTTTTTGGTTGGATAGGTTTCTCAATTTCTTTCTTAGGTTTTTGCATTCTTCATCAAACCATTTATCACTGTTATTACTTTTCTTTGGTTTTCTGTTAGAGATTTTTAGATTTGATAGGGAAGCTGAGAGGTCAAATATACTGTTTAGGTTTTCTACTGCCAAGTTTACACCTTCACTATTACAGTGGAACGTTTTGTCCAGGAAGTTGTCTAGAATGGATTGAATTTGTTGTTTCCTAATTGTTTTTTGGTAGGTTTCAACACTACTTTCCTTCCATCTATAGCATTTCTTAATATTATTCAGTTCTTTTGGCTTTGATGCCTCATGATTGAGTATTGCTCTGTTCAAGTAGACTGTGATTTTGCTGTGGTCTGATAGGGGTGTCAGTGGGCTGACTGTGAACGCTCTGAGAGACTCTGGGTTGAGGTCAGTGATAAAGTAGTCTACAGTACTACTGCCAAGAGATGAGCTATAGGTGTACCTACCATAGGAGTCCCCTCGAAGCCTACCATTGACTATGTACATACCCAGTGTGCGACAGAGCTGCAGGAGTCGTGACCCATTTTTGTTGGTTATGTTGTCGTAGTTGTGCCTAGGGGGGCATATGGGGGAGGGAATGCTGTCACCTCCAGGTAGGTGTTTGTCCCCCTGTGTGCTGAGGGTGTCAGGTTCTTGTCCAGTTCTGGCATTTAGGTCGCCACAGACTAGTACATGTCCCTGGGTCTGGAAATTATTGATTTCCCCCTCCAGGATGGAGAAACTGTCTTCATTAAAGTATGGGGATTCTCTCTCTCTCTCTGCTCTGTCCACCCCCCCTCTCTCTGCTCTCTCTCTCTTTCTCTCACTCACTCACACTCACGACTTAGTGTTTCTTTTTGTTTTGATCTACTTCCGTAAACTAAACTAAAGCAACTCCAAAAGGGAAGAGAACAAACAAAGACTGATTTGTAGCACCTTGGTGTGTTGGTTGGCTGACAGACTTCTGCAGATGTGCTGCAAGCAGATAAACACATACTTGTTCACGAGGCTACTTGTTCAGTTGACCATACGTCTTACAAATGGAATAATATGCAAGTGCACCGCAGATGCTTAATCTATTAACGTACAGGAAGCCAACAAGTAGGCCTGTCACCTCCCTAACCCTAGCCTGTCACCTCCCTAACCCTAGCTTGTCACCTCCCTAACCCTAGCTTGTCACCTCCCTAACCCTAGCCTGTCACCTCCCTAACCCTAACCTGTCACCTCCCTAACCCTAGCCTGTCACCTCCCTAACCCTAGCCCGCCACCTCCCTAACCCTAGCCTGACACCTCCCTAACCCTAGCCTGACACCTCCCTAACCCTAGCCTGACACCTCCCTAACCCTAGCCTGACACCTCCCTAACCCTAGCCTGTCACCTCCCTAACCCTAGCCTGTCACCTCCCTAACCCTAGCCCCACCACTCCAACCCTCCTCCCCTCCCTACATCCGCCACCTCCCTAACCCTACCTGTCACCCCCCTAACCCTAGCCTGCACCTCCCTAACCCTAGCCTGTCCCACCTCCCTAACCCCTAGCCTGTCAACCTCCCTAACCCTAGCCTGTCACCTCCCTAACCCTACCTTCCCTCCCTACCCTGCCTGCCACCTCCTACCCTACCTCCCCTCCCTATGCCTCCCTCCCTACCCGCCTCCCCACCCTAACCCTAAACCTGGCCACCCTCCCTCCCTAGCCTCCACCTTTCCCCAACCCTACCTGTCACTTTCCTCCACCCCCTTCCCCCTCCCTACCCTATCCTTCACCTCCCTAACCCCTCTCCTTCCCACCTCCCTAACCCTAGCCTGTCACCCCCCCCCCCCTAACCCTATCCTGCACCCTCCTAACCCTACCCCGTCACCTCCCCTACCACCCCCGACCCCCTATCCCAACCCTAAAGGCCCACCGTCCCTCCCCACCCTGCCTCCCTCCCTAACCTACCCTACCCTCCCCAACCCTATCCACCCTAGCCCCCCTCCCTCCCTAGCCCTACCTGCCACCCCACATCCCTAACCCTAGCCTGCCACCTCCCTAGCCCTTGCCTGCCCACTTTCCCTAACCCTAGCCCTAGCCTGCCACTTCCCTAACCACCTCCACTTCCTGGTTGGGGGCCACGGTTGGCTCAATGTGTTTTCACACTCAGTCACCAATGCCATTTCCTATACATGTAGGCTTGTGTCCTACTTAATGGTCTGGAAAAAAGGGCCCCAACGTGTATGATAAGGGATTTTTTTTTCACCCAAAGATACCATGGTTTCCAAAAACCGTGGCTTTCCCTTACATCTGATATTGAGGTTAAGGTGCTTTCTGGCCCTAACTGACGTGTGTGTGTGTGTGATATTAACTCTCCTCCCCTCCCCTCCCACCCTCCCTCTTATCTCCCTCTCTCCCCTCCCACCCTCTCTTCTCCTCTCCTCCCCTCATCCCCCCCTCCCTCCCACCCTCTCTCCCCTCCCTCCCTCCCTCTCTACCCCTCCCTCCCTCTCTACCCCTCCCTCCCTCTCTCCCCCTCCCCACCCTCTCTCTCTCACTCCCCCTCCCACTCTCTCTCCCTCTCCTCTCCCCCCTCCCTCCCACCCTCTCTCTCCCACCCTCTCTCCCCCTCTCTCCTTCTCTCCCCCCTCCCATTCTCCCACCCTCTCTCCCCCCTCCCACCCTCTCTCCCTCCCTCTCTCCCCCTCCCACCCTCTCTCCAGAGGTTTACCAATGAGGACCACCTGGCTGTACACAAACACAAGCATGAGATGACTCTAAAGTTTGGCCCTGCCAGGACTGACTCTGTCATTATCCAAGGTACTGGTTCTCCTAGTGAGTCTGTAATATTTAGTTTTATTACTCTACTGTTCTGGCACCTCTTTACTTTGGTCCATTTGTCAGTTGTTGAGTACCCAAATGTCAGTTGTGATCACCAGAACATTTTAGTCGGATATAGGATCACTGATGTCCCCACCTGTCAAGTTTGACTTCTCTGAAAACCTTTAGTGGTTGACCTTTAGTAGTTGAATATTGGATTAATTTGATCTTTAAATCGTCATGCCAAAGTGTGTCAGAATAAAAGTCATCCATGGGCTTTGAAAAAGGTGATATTTTCTCAAATTGACATTTCTCTTTGTGTTTCTCTTCCTCCTGTTCCAGACCAGACCCCTACTCCCACTCGCTTCCTGAAGAACTGTGAGGAGGTGGGGCTGTTCAACGAGCTGGCTAGCTCCTTCGCTGAGGAGTTCAGGAAGGCCCAGGAGGATGACGACAAGCGGGCCAAGAACCCTGTGAGTAGAAATCGCTTGGTTCTCTGTAGCTTAGTTGGTAGAGCATGGCGGTTGCAATGCCAGTATAGTGGGTTCGATTCCCGGGACCACCCGTATGTAAAATGTATGCACACAAGACTGCTTTGGATAAAAGCATCTGCTAAATGGCATAATATTATCATATTATAGAACCGAGGGAGTTTGATAGACCATGTTTGCCTGATTAGGTACTGTATCTGAGACCCAAAGACTTGCATTAGGTCTAAGCTTTAGGTCAGAACACAGTGTTGTTGCACGCAGAAGAGCAGGATCGGAACCCAATCGGTCACATGAGCAATAGGGTGGAATGGGATGGGAGTCCTGGATCTTCTGAAGGGATATCTCTGCTGTGTTTCATAGTGTCACAGTCTCTCCCCCCCACCCCCCCCCTCCAGCTCCCTGCCCCCCACAGAGAGGTGGCCCTACACATGAGCCTGCAGACACCGTCAGCAGAATCCATGAAGGTGAAGGAGGAGGAGCCTGTGGAGGTTGACTCTTCCCCACCAGGAAGTCCTGATTCCTTCTCCAGCATGTCAGACAGTAGCAGGGATGCCATGGTGAGACGAGGAAAGGTAGGGGTCAAAACTTAGGGGACATGACTGACCAGCAAACCCATGTTGAATGACCTAATTGGTTCTGGTTAGGATTAGAGTTATGGGTTGACATGCCAGTCATGTCCCTTCAGTCACACCCAAAGGTAGGGGACAGGGGAGCGCCAGAGGAACGGGTAGGTATGGGTGACCAGGATGGATGGGCACTGTGGTCTGTTGATGGGGAGCGTCTGACAGGATCGGGAAACAACATGTACGGACCTGCTGTACTCCATATTAACTATGTCTATGAGCTATCAAGAAACAATCCACAATGCATTGGGAAAGAGGCTGTATTAAACCTATGAGAGTCATAATTGACCTTATACTAAACATCTGTTGTTGAACTAGGCATCTCTCCTGTCTTCTCTCAGGACACTCCCCTGAGGTCAGTGCTGAGTTCGGCCCCCACCCCCACCATCGTGAGGCACGGTGCCCTCCCTATGCGTCCCAGACCAGGTTCTCTGCCCCTCCACTTGGGCTTTGACACCTTGCAGCCCACCATGCCTTCACCCACCTCCGTCATCACACCCACCCCACCCTCCAACCGCACCCTGCTGGGGTGAGTGACTGGTCCTGCACAAGCCTGGTTCTAGATTTGAAGACTGCTCAGATCTGGACCCAGGCTAGTCCTCCATGGGGCCTGGAGCTGCAGTTAAAGATGACTTTTATATGCTGAATTCCACATCAACCCTTTTTACGACCGTTTAGGCTAGAGACAAGCCGTTTTCTTTGCTGTAAAGCTGCAAGCATGCCTGTCGCGGTTCTGAAACACTTCAGTGTGCTGTAGGCAGCAGCGGAGTTAGGAGACTAGAAAACAGCCCTTGTCTTAATTGTCTAAGAAAAGTGAGGAGAGACGAAACCCCAACTTAATTACGTCTATAATCAACAGCCTAACTGTTAAATGTGCCTGGCTTTATAAATCATCCATATACAGTACCAGTTAAAAGTTTGGACACACCTACTCATTCCAGGGTTTTTCTTTATTTTTACTATTTTCTACTATGTAGAATAATAGTGAAGACATCAAAACTATGAAATAATACATATGGAATCATGTAGTAACCCCAAAAAGTGTTAAACAAATCAAAATATATTTTATATTTGAGATTCTTCAAATAGCCCCCCTTTGCCTTGATGACAGCTTTGCACACTCTTGGCATTCTCTTAGTTGTGATGTCTTCACTATTATTCTACAATGTAGAAAATAGTAAAAATAAAGAAAAACCCTTGAATGAGTAGGTGTGTCCAAACTTTTGACAGGTAGTGTATATCTACAGAAATAAGACAGATCCTGCTTCTGTAACCTGTTTGAGTGTTTGTTTAATAGCCTACAGATATCGTGAGCACCAAGCCTCACGCAACCACATGTCGGATAAACAATTTCACAAATTCGACTGTTTTTTAATCTTTGCTATACTGTAATAAAGGCTTTTCGTTAGAACAGCCTCTCTGGTATTATGTATACATTATTTAGTATTTACACTGTTCCAAATTGTCAGGAAAATAATATTTATAATAAAATAACCCTCCTTTTTCCTTGATCTCCTTCCTATTGTTATTATTACTATTATTATGATCATCATTATAATAATAAGTAATGTCATTATCATTAGTAGGCTTAGTATAGCAGCCTTGTATCGCCACCATCGAGCTGTAGGCCTAAGAGCGCATCCTGTTTAGTCTTTAATACCGTAACTTACTTAGGCCTATATTTCAATACTTATATAGGCTACTGTATCAATCAATTATTTAATTGTTTATGTCATTACACAGCATACGAGTCATTCATGATTTGAAATGCAATCAAGAATTTTAGTTTTTAAATAAAATAACAAAGTGACCATTGGATAATTAGCATAAACAATAAATACACCGAAACCGTTCCATTTCGGAAAATGTATTCACGAATGAATGCGACTGTTTTTAGTCTTTGCTGTAATAAAGGCTTTACAAAAAAACAAAAAAACATTACAACAGACTCTCTGGTATGGTATAATTTATTTAGTGTTGTTTACATTGTTCCAAACGGTCAGAAAAATTATATTGTAATCTAACAGCACCAAGGGTTGAGGGAATAGGGAATGTTTATCCTAAACAAATTAGGGATTTCAGTAACATAACACTTCTGTCAGAAACGGCTGTAATTATGTTGCAGCTTCAGCAACACGGACACCGCGACACACACTGTTGATGTTCTGTGGTGGTCGCTGCAGCAGGGAGGAGAGCGAGACAACGGGTGCTAGTCACACAGTCACTCGCTGTCTTTTTTTAACACAGAGCAGAAAGTCTGAGCCAGGCCCAGCACAATCAAATCAATTGCGGTCGGACTCCCTCTAGTCATTTGTGTCTTAAGTATTTCATCAAACAGTTCGCTTAAAGCATCACACAAGCTCAGTGCATATAGTTGATTTGATTAAAACACATAGGATGTTTCTATATATGGAAAAATACCTAATTCTTTTAGACCAATCGATTCTTGGTCGACCGATCAAATTTTTTAGTTGGGGACAGCCCTAAACTGAGTTAGGAAGGACGCCTGTATCTTTGTAGTGACTGGGTATATTGATACACCATCCAAAGTGTAATTAATAACTTCACCATGCTCAAAGGGATATTCAATGTCTACTTTTAAATGTTTACCCATCTACCAATAGGTGCCCTTCTTTGCGAGGCATTGGAAAACCTCACTGCTCGACTGAGGGACCTTACAATTATCTGTATGTGTAGGTACAGAGATGAGGTAGTCATTCAAAAATCATGTTAAACAGTAATATTGCGAACAGAGTGAGCCCATGCAACTTATTATGTGACTTGTTAAGCACATTTTTACACCTGAACTTATTTAGGCTTGCCATATCAAAGGGGTTAAATACTTATTGACTCAAGACATTTCAGCTTTTCATTTTAATCAATTTGTAAACATTTCTAAAAACATAATTCCACTTTGACATTATGGGGTATTGTGCATGTGTGTAGGCCCGTGACAAAAAAATCTCAATTTAATCAATTTTAAATTCAGGCTGTAACACAACAAAATGTGGAAAAAGTCAAGGGATGTGAATTATTTCTGAAGGCACTGTAGTTACGAGATCTCTAGTTGGATTTAACCCGTTTTTGCATTGCCATTGAGGGCTTCCACCATTTTAAAGTAGTCAGCTTTGTGGGTATTCCTATGGGTTGGAAGGGATTAGCCAATGATCAGAGCATTGACTTCTTCAAATTGGGTTACCTGGTTTTTAAATGGCTTTAAGCTGTATCACCGCCATCTAGTGGCCACAAATTAATGACACACAGGATTTGGTTCAGGACTCCAGCACTGCAGGTGTCGGTAAATCACCATTATAAGCTTTATGCTTTTTTTCAAACACAAAATAAAAAGAAAATAGCTTCAATGGATCTGCCCGTGCTGTCATAGTCGCCATTATGGTACAGATACAAAGAATATATATCTAACTAACTCTGTACCTAGCCCTTAGGCCACTTCTGTACATCTGAAAGGATTGGATAGGTGTGTCCAATATGGTGTCAATTCCACCTACCCTATCAGAGGGCAAGATGGAGCTTTTTAAATAGATTTTTTTATTCTACCAGTAACCCTCTACCTCTTTTTTTCTATAGCTCTCCCACTGGCCACTACCCCATGATGATGCACCTTCCCAATGGGCTCCTGCCTGGTCCTATGCAGATACCCTCTGTCATTTCTGTAAGTGCCCTGCCTTCACCCATCTGTCTGTCCTTGTCTGGTTTGGGAATGGTGGTTGTTGCCAATTCTGATTGACGTGGAAGCTGACCTTCGCTAAGGGAGTAATAACATCTCAATCAGAAAGTTTGATAAAATAATGAAATTGTATGCTTGCACTAGTCGTCTACAATGTGTATTAATTCACATAGAAGCATATATGAAGCAGTTTGAAAAGACTGACATTGAGGTAGTATCTCACTTTGCCAGCCTGAGCCCCGACCTAGCTAGGTCGTTAAAGTGTGTGTGTGTTCTGTCTCCAGCTGGCTCGGCCCATGCACATGGTGCCCAACATTCCCGGCATCCCTGGTCCTCCTATTGGAGGCGGCAGCAGTGGCTCCAACTCCCCCTCCGGGTACACCACACACTCTGAGGCCAAGATGGTGAGCTCTCTCTCTCGCTCTCTCTCTCTCTCGCTCTCTCTCTCTCTCGCTCTCTCTCTCTCGCCCTCTCTCTCTCGCTCTCTCTTTCTTGCTCTCTCTCTCTCGCTCACTATATCTGTCGCTCTGGCTCACTCGCCATCTGTCTCTCGCTTTTCATCTTGCTTTTCTCTGTCTCTCTGTCTTGCTCCGGTTCACCGTTCCTTCTCTCTCACTCTCTCTTTCTCTCTCTCCTTCTTTCTTTCTTTCCTTCTTTCTTTCCTTCTTTGTTGCCCTATTGCGTTCCCTCCCTCCCTCTATCTCTGTTTGTTCATCACATGACAGAGATTGCAGTCCAATAATAGTTTTGATGAACATTCGGAGTGCTTGTATAGGAAAAGATCAGATACATAAACAGGTGTGTTTAAGCAGGTACATTGGGAGTGATAACATGAATGAGCAGGTGTGTGTGTGTCTGTTTATTTCTGTCTGTGTGTGTGGTTGTCTGTCTGTCTATATAGTTATATGTGTGTGTGTGGGGGGTTACTGTTAACATGGCCCTGGTTGTCCTGTCTCCTGTAGAGGCTGAAGGCAGCACTAGCACAGCAGAGTTCAGGGGGTCAGATGGGGGGTGTGGCCGGCAGCCCCATGCACCCCCAGAGGATGGAGCAGAGCCAGCTATTGGTGCAGCACCCAGACGCACCCTCGCCCGCACAGCCACAGGTAGGACAACATGGAGACATGGACCCTCCCCGCACAGCCACAGGTAGGACAACATGGAGACATGGACCCTCCCCGCACAGCCACAGGTAGGACAACATGGAGACATGGACCCTCCCCTGCACAGCCACAGGTAGGACAACATGGAGACATGGACCCTCCCCTGCACAGCCACAGGTAGGACAACATGGAGACATGGACCCTCCCCTGCACAGCCACAGGTAGGACAACATGGAGACGTGGACACACACATTTTACATTTGAGTAATTTAGCAGACGCTCTTATCCAGAGCAAAATACAGAGTGCATTCATCTTAGGATAGCTAGGTGGGACAATCGCATATCTTAAGCACATTTTTTCCTTTAAAAAAAGTAGCTATCAGCAAAGTCAGTGGTGGTGAGGTGGTTTCAGAAGATGGGCAGGGACTCTGTGGGAAGCCAGGACAGAGAATAACTTTGACTGGGCTGAGCGGGAGATTCCCTCTCGTAGGGGTGGGAGGGCCAGGAGACGAGAGGCAGAACTTGGTAGTACTCAGGTTGGGGTGTAGGGTTTGAGCATAGTCTGAAGGTAGGGAGAGAGGGGCAGTTCCTCTTGCTGCTCTGTAGGCAAGTACCATGGTCTTGTAATGGATGCGCGCTTCGACTGGAAGCCAGTGGAGTGTGCGGAGGAGCAGGGTGACATGGGAGATCTTGGGAAGGTTGAACACCATGCTGGCTGCGGCGTTCTGGATAAGTTGCAAGGGTTTGATGGCACAAGCGGGGAGCCCAACCAACAGTGAGTTGCAGTAGTCCAGACTGGAGATGACAAGTGCCAGGATTATGACCTGCGTCACTTCCTGTGTGAGGTAGGGTCGGACTCTATGGATGTTGGTGTTTATCCAGGGTCACGCCAAGTTTCTTTGCAGTCTGGGAGGGGGACACCGTGGAGTTGTCAACCGTGATGAAGTTGGGCAGGCCTTCTCCGGGAGGAAGAGCAGCTCCATTTTGCCAAGGTTGATTGGCTGACATCCAAGCTGAGATATCTGCCAGGCACGCAGAGATGCGTGTCGCAACCTGGGCGTCAGAAGAAGGGAAACAGAAAATAAGTTGTCATCCACCATCTTAGCAATGATCGGAGAGACCATGTGAGGATTTGATAGAGCCGAGTGACTTGGTGTATAGAGAGAAGAGGAGAGGGCTTTGAACTGAGATCTGGGGGACACCAGTAGTGAGAGTACGTGGGGCAGATCCTCTCCACGTCACCTGGTAGGAGCAAGCCTGCCAGGTAGGATGCAATCCAAGAGTGTGCAGAACCTGAGACGCCCTGCCCTGAGAGGGTGGGGAGGTGAATCTGATGGTTCACGGTGTCGAAGGCAGTGGATAGATCTAGGAGGAGAGTGAGTCAGCTTTGGCAGTGCATAGAGCCTCCGTGACACAGAAGAGAACAGTCTCGGTTGAGTGACACATCTTGAAGCCTGACTGGTTAGGGTTAAGAAGTTATTTCTGAGAGAGATAGTGAGAGAGTTGGTCAGAGACTGCACGGTCAAGTGTTTTGGAAAGAAAAGAAAGAAGGGATGGTTAGGGTTAAGAAGTTATTTCTGAGAGAGATAGTGAGAGAGTTGGTCAGAGACTGCACGGTCAAGTGTTTTGGAAAGAAAAGAAAGAAGGGATACATACCGGTCTGTAGTTTTTGACGTCAGAGAGGTTGAGTGTTGGTTTCTTGAGGAGGGGAGCAACTCTGGCCAGTGGTCAGGGATGTGTTGATGAGGGAAGTAAGGAATGGGAGAAGGTCTCCAGAGATGGTCTGGAGGAGGGGATGGGGTCGAGCGGGCAGGTTGTCGGGCGGCCGGTCCTCACTAGTCTCAGGATTTCATGTGGAGAGAGAGGGGAGAAAGAGGTCGAAGCGTAGGGTAGTCCTGTGTAAGTGGGATCAGTGGACTCAATAGGCTGAGTGAATGAGGAGCGGATGTCGTCAACCTTCTTTTCAAAGTGGGTGACAAAGTCATCCGCAGAGAGGGAGGAGGGAGCGGGTGGAGGATAAAGGTGGAAGGAAGTGTCCTAGCCCTGTTCTGTAAGCTCACAATGAGCCACTCAGCCACGGCGCAGGCGGGTAGGGCCGAGCCGGCCGGGAGGAAAGGGGACAGTGCGAGTCATAGGATGCGGAAAGGGAGGAGAGTAGGGTCGAAGAGGCAGAATCACGAGACAGGAGGGAGAAGGATGTAGCAGAAGGAAGAGATGATGGGATAGAAGAGGAGAGAGTAGTGGGGAGGGAAAGTGAAGATTGAAACGGCAAGTGACCATCTGGGTAGGGGCTGAGTGGGTAGGGTTGGAGGAAAGGGAGAGAGAAAAGGAAGCAAAGTAGTGATCAGAGACCTGGAGGGGGAACAGTCTCTAGTAAAGATGAGATCAAGCGTATTGCCTGCCTTGTGAGTGGGAGGGGACTGGTGAGGTCAAAAGAGGCAAGGAGGGGAAAGAAAGAGGTGGAAAGAAATTAATCAAAGGCAGATGTCGGGAGGTTGAAGTCGCCCAGAATGATGAGCGGTGAGCCATCGTCAGGAAATGAGCTTATCAAGGTGTCATGCTCGTTGAGGAACTCTCTAAGGGCACCTGGTGGGCGATAGATGACAACAATGTTAAGCTTGAGTGGACAAGTGACAGTGACCGCATAGAATTCAAATGAGGAGATGGACAGGTGAGTGAGGTAGAAAAAATAAAATCTCCACTTAGGAGGAATGAGGATACACACACGCATGTTAATTGTAAAGAATATAAATGGAGACTTATACTCTGTGGCCACAATAGAAAATGATCAAAACCCTCTTGACTTGGATCTTCATGACTCTTGGTTCATTGACATCAGTAGAGGGGCTTTAAAATGCAAAATTATAATTTAGCCACTAAAAGACTTCCAGTGTTGAGCTCAATCTGTCTAGCCCACTCCCCCTCAGTCTATACCCCTGTCTGCCTGCTGCCATGACTCTCTCTTTCTCTCTCGCTCTCTCTCCCCCCCAGGTGTCTCCTGCTCAGCCTACCGGTGGTCGGCGGCGGCGTGCGGCGGAGGACGACCCGGATGATAGACGACAGCGTTTCCTGGAGAGGAACCGGGCAGCCGCCTCGCGCTGCCGACAGAAACGCAAAGTCTGGGTCAACTCCTTAGAGAAGAAGGCCGAGGAGCTCTCCTCCATGAACGTCTTCCTGGCGGTGGGTGTGTGGGAGGGTGGGTGTGTGAGTGTGTGGGAGGGTGGGTGGGTGTGGGTGTGTGAGTGTGTGGGAGGGTGGGTGTGTGAGTGCGCGTTTTCAAGATTGCACTGTATTCTGCTCTCATCTGTCCTTTCTTTGAACCACCCACTCATTGAGATATTTCTATCAACCAGTTTGAAAAGTCAATCTAAATGTCTCAGTATTATCCATTGCCTTTCTCTGTGTCGGTGTGAGTCAACAGTAATGGCAGAGGAAAAAAATGAAAACTTGCACACAGTTTAATGCTGCTATTCAGTCCTCAATGCTTTATTCCTGCCCCATACGTTTGAGATGTGCATACCATGCTGCTTTCTTCAATGTTTTTATCCATCTGCCCAGGGACTACAGATAAACTAGCCAGCCTGCTAAATCTGTCCCAGTCAAAATAATACATAAATAAATATATATCACTCTTGTTTGCTTCATCAACAGTGACTTCAGACCCTCTCTCTCTGTGTATTCGTGTGAGAAAACACAGCAGTATTGACTCATTATTATTATTATTATTATTATTATTATTATTATTTTTATTAATAACAACAGTATTGACATTATTATTATTATTGTAATTATTAATAACAACAGTATTGACTCATTATTATTGTAATTATAACAACAGCATTGACTCATTGTTATTGTAATTATTAATAATAATAGTATTGACTCATTGTGTTACTGTGTCTCTTCAGAATGAGGTGTCTCTTCTGAGGAACGAGGTGGCTCATCTCAAGCAGCTGCTGCTGGCTCATAAGGACTGCCCTGTCACCACTCTACAGAAGAACATGGGTGAGCCTGCTATCTAGCAGCATCTAGAAAACACACTGAAACCTCTCCTCAGGCTGTTGGATGAAAGGCATTGTATAACGTTATATAGTCAAGTCTACAGTGGCTAGTTCAGATCACTACCTTGGCTTAGTCAGTGGCTAGTTCAGATCACTACCTTGGCTTAGTCAGCGTCTAGTTCAGATCACTACCTTGGCTTAGTCAGCGTCTAGTTCAGATCACTACCTTGGCTTAGTCAGCGTCTAGTTCAGATCACTACCTTGGCTTAGTCAGCGTCTAGTTCAGATCACTACCTTGGCTTAGTCAGCGTCTAGTTCAGATCACTACCTTGGCTTAGTCAGCGTCTAGTTCAGATCACTACCTTGGCTTAGTCAGCGTCTAGTTCAGATCACTACCTTGGCTTAGTCAGCGTCTAGTTCAGATCACTACCTTGGCTTAGTCAGTGGCTAGTTCAGATTACTACCTTGGCTTAGTCAGTGGCTAGTTCAGATTACTACCTTGGCTTAGTCAGTGGCTAGTTCAGATCACTACCTTGGCTTAATCAGTGGCTAGTTCAGATCACTACCTTGGCTTAGTCAGCGTCTAGTTCAGATTACTACCTTGGCTTAATCAGTGGCTAGTTCAGATCCCTACCTTGGCTTAATCAGTGGCTAGTTCAGATTACTACCTTGGCTTAATCAGTGGCTAGTTCAGATCCCTACCTTGGCTTAGTCAGTGGCTAGTTCAGATTACTACCTTGGCTTAGTCAGTGGCTAGTTCAGATCACTACCTTGGCTTAATCAGTGGCTAGTTCAGATCACTACCTTGGCTTAGTCAGTGGCTAGTTCAGATCTCTAGATGGCCATGGTAGGAATAACAAAAATACTTTGTTGTTAGAACCAATGAGCCAGTAAGTACATATGCTAAATGTCTTCATTAATGGGGGTTAAGTGATTGAAATAGCTTGTTGTGGTTTCTGGTGGCTCTGTTCTTTCTACCATGTAGAGTATCTCTGGTAAACTCATCCTTGTAACTCTTGTGTCTCTGTGCTGTAGGAGAAGACAGTACTATGAAAGACGTGTCGGAGCCCACCGGCTCCCCAGCACCCGTCATCCAGCACAGCTCCCTGCCCAGCCCCTCTCCTTCCTCGGGCCCCAACGGCATAAATGCCCAGGCGGCCGCCGAGGCCATGTCTGTGCTGGCTGGGATGGGTCAGCACCAGCAGAGGAGAGGAGAGAGGGATGGAGGGAGAGACGGGAGGGATGGACCCTCCTCCCACGTCATCATGGCCACACAGTCGCACCACTCTGCCAGATGATGAGCAATGAGCGTATCACACGCCACGGCCCGGGACTCTATGGTAAACACACCACCAGGCACCAGCCTACACAGGGGCAGGAGGAAAGCAGAGGAGAGGGTAGAGAAGGAAGAGGGCAACATGCCTTCCTAGTAAAATCAACCTGAGGAGTAGTTACATGATACAACCTCCCTCCTCTCTGCCTGTGCTGTGGCGGCCATTTTGTGTCAGCAACTTTGTGTCAGGCCTGGAGCCTTGCTGGAGCTCAGCAACAACAGCCTTCTGGGAATGGACCGGGACGATAGGAGAAAAAGAGCTTCTTGTTCTGTTCACTATGCCATATATAGACTACATACAGGGGCTGGACTCCACACCCCTCGTATCCTCCCCCCCCCCCCCAATCACCCTACAACCCTCTCACCTTGCCTCACCCTCAAGCCACCCTCAAGCCCTTATGAACTTCACAGGACTGTAGGACTGCATAGCATCGTCCCGAGTGTCGTAACTGTCATTGTGATGAACTCGGACACTCAGACTCTAACACACGGTAACACACACATACCTGACACATACACTCAACATTGAATTGATTCATGTTTGTTGTTTATCAAGTGATATACCAAAACCCTGATCACTGCAGGGATCCACACTATTGGAACAGGGAGTTGTGTCATTGCTCTCCTGCACATGTTAACACGTTTTATTCCCACACAAAAATGGGTTTTAATAATTGAAGCTCCAACTCCAAAGATCCAACAGTTTTGTATACCTCAAGATGGTCAGATCTAAAATATTTTCTATTTGGTCTGTTGAATCCCTAGCAGTTTTGTAAGTGGTTTCATTTCGAGGATCTGTCGCAGTCGTTCACGAAAAAGCTTGACCTCATTTTTAGCGCTTTTATGATACATTTAATAAAGTGTGTGTGGGGTGTGTGTATATTTATGTACATCAAGCAGTTTGTTGATTCAAGGTCTGATAAAATAAGATCTGGTTTGGTAGCATGTGACTTATTTTTATATTTACATCTTTGTTGTATTCCTGTGCAGCTTTCTTTTTATAAGTTTATCGGCACATTATTATTTGCAGCTTGGGCCATAGAGAACCAAATTCAGTGTGACAGAAACGGAAAGCTAAAAGTAATATATTTAGTGTATACTGCCATTTACAAATCATTTATACACTTAAAAGAGAAAGGCTTTTTACATCGAGCTTCAGAATTTCTTTGGGACCGTATCTGACGCTAAACAAATCCAACCCCTCCCCTCTCCCCTCTCCCCCCCCTCCCCTCTCCCCTCTCCCCCCTCCCCTCTCCCCCCTCCCCTCTCCCCTGTCTAACCATTTCCTCATTCCCATTCCCAATTTTCGTATTTATTTTTCTAAATGTATGTCATTACCATCTTTTCTGAAATCTTAGCTGACAGAAAGCTTTGCTTCTAACTGGCCTTTATCGCTCTCCTCTGTTTCCTTAAACCTTCTCGTTCTTTAGTAGTTCATCCTTGCTGCTTTCTGGAGCGTGATGGGCTACTCTGAAGTCTCCAGGCTTGTGTTCATTAAGTACCAAACACAACAAAACGGACTGAAACAACGAGGCACAACCTGGACTTGTTCAATAAGAAATGCTCATTTTCTTTTGCCGTTGCAAAACGTTATAAAACGTTTTCCATTGAGTGCACTAATGAACACGAACCTGGCTGTTCTTTATTAATGACTCTATCCAAAACAAAGCCATGTTACCCTTTTAGCGTGTATGTGTGTATGTGTGTATGTGTGTATGTGTATGTGTGTATGTGTGTATGTGTGTATGTGTGTATGTATGTATGTATGTGTGTGTGTGTGTGTGTGTGTGTGTGTGTGTGTGTGTGTGTGTGTGTGTGTGTGTGTGTGTGTGTGTGTGTGTGTGTATGTATGTGAGTGTCTTTACAAACGGCACTGACAAATCTGAACAAACACATAAACTGAGTGTCATACTATGGATCAGGACTCACTGCTACACACACACACACACACTATGTGTTTGAAAACGATTTTGCCTTAAAGAATCACTTTCGTGCTGCCGACATCCTCCTCAAAGATTATTGGGTTGCATGAAAAAACATTATTGTTCTGCCTTAGGAATAAAAAAAATTATCTCGGAAATTAAAAGCCATTAGCAATGGGTAACAACTGATTAACTTTTTTTACATGCTGAGAATTTTTCATATAGTAGTAGATTCCTTCAAATATCAGGAGTAAAATGGCAACATGGTGTCTCAACACATTATCAATGTTGTGTGTGTTAAGCTGCCATCTAGTGGACTAATATGACCTTTACCTTCTCTCACAAGGATGGGAATGGAACATGGGACTTTGAGGGAAATTCTTTCAGAACTATGGAGGTCTCGGAACTGTTTAAATTCTTCAGGGATCCCCCCCATTTTAGTTTTAGACATTTTGTTTTAGAAAAACAGCCATCTAAACAAGTGATAATCTTGTTGTTTTTTTGCATTTGTATGGAACTTCCCCCACCATCTAGCTAATGTATGTGTAACCATTTGCAGTGTGTAATCCTGCAGAAATAACTAGGGTATCTGTCCAAAAAAACATAAGGGCATGTCTAAATGCACAAAAATATGCAGGTTTATCTTTAATTCTTTGTTTTGTTTTGTTTGTTTTTGTGTAAACTTTTTGTTTTGTCCTGAATATAGGTTATCTTTCAGTAACATGAAAAGTTTGCTATTTCTTTTGTCTTGATAATGTATTTTAAACATAATGGGTTTATTTCCCGGATCCAGATTAAGCCTAGTTCTAGACTAAAAAGCATGTTCAATGGATATTCTCAATTGAAGGTACTTCTTAGTTCATGGATAGACTCAATCTGTGTTCGGGAAACCGGCCCAACAAGGATTGCTACTCAGTAACTACTTGACACATCTCACAAATGACTGAACCGCTTTGTCATTCTACTACAGTCCCAATGGTAAACCCTATTCCCGATTTTATTACACTACTTTTGACCAGGGCTCTGGTCAAAATTAGTGCACTATATAGGGAATATGGTGCGATTTGGTGTGCGACCCTACAGTGACCGTCCCAATGGTGACCCTGTCTGGTGTTGTGTAGTACTCTGAGCTGGCACTAGCTAGCTGTCCCTTTAGAAATAGACGATTGTTCATATGAAATGGAAAAAAACTCAACTTTATTTAGCTTTCATGTCAGTTGATTGTCATTGGCACTTTGTTCTTCTCCCATTTTTTGTTTTTGGTATTTTCTTAATTGCGTGCTATTGTCACGAGGACTATATAAATACTCTGGCATGATAAACGCTTCTTCTGTTATATATTTTTGTGTTGTAATGATAAGATATAGAAATGTATTTGTTTTAGTACATTAATGTCTTCTGTTTTTCCTGTCAAAAAGACTGTTACTGTAACCCAACTGTTTGTATCAGCCGGACTATGCCGGAACCATAGAATTGGAATCATGATTCTAATCCTATGGCTGGAACTCTGCTCTGTCAGGACTGCCCGTTACTCACAAATCAACTTAAGTTATTGTTGCATTGTTTTCATGGATATCAATGTTTTTTTTTATCCCTCTCAAAATATTAACAGTTGTTGTGAACAAGTAACAGAATTGTATAAGAAAAATAACAATTTTACATATGAGAAGACAATTGTAAAAGTTTCTTTTTTTTTTTATTTTAATTGTTCATTCGCACTCCCATGAAATAATTGTTGGACTGATAATTTCTGAAATTGTCCTTATTGTACTGTACATATCTGTACTAGGCTATATGAATATATTTACTTTTCCATGCATGTCTAAGTGAAACTACTATGAACACTTACTGTGCTGCAGCTTTAATTAAACAAAATAACTTAATGGATATCAACTGTTTCTGTAATATTTGATTCAGACAATTTCACATAAGTTTCTCCTCTCTCTCCTCTCTCTTGCCTCTCTCGCAATTCAATTTCAATATAAGGGGCTTTATTGGCATGGGAAACGTATGTTAACATTGCCAAAGCAAGTGAAATAGATAATAAAGAAAAGTGAAATAAACAATAAAAATGAACAGTTAACATGACAAAAGTTCCAAAGGCTAAATGGCTAAATACAGTGTTGTAACGATGTGCAAATAGTTAAAGTACAAAAGGGAAAATAAATAAACATATGGGTTGTATTTACAATGGTGTTTGTTCTTCACTGGTTGCCCTTTTCTTGTGGCAACAGGTTACAGGTCTTGCTGCTGTGATGGCACACTGTGGTTTTTCACCCAATAGACATTGGATTTGTTTTCGAATTCTTTGTGGGTCTGTGTAATCTGAGGGAAGTATGTGTCTCTAATATGGTCATACATTTGGCAGGAGGTTAGGAAGTGCAGCTCTGTCTCCGTGTGTGTGTGTGTGTGTGTGTGTGTGTGTGTGTGTGTTACATGGTCACTTCATTGATTGCTCAATTCTGTAGTAGCCTATCCCTGTACTGAAGATCTTTGGCCAACTAATCTGTGCAATCCTTCTCTTGTAATCACTAAATGCATGCTTGCCACGTGTTGCCACCTGTAACTACATCAGAGATTTACTGAGGACAATAAGGATAGAGCCAATAGTCAACATCGAGGACCAGAGAGAAATTTGGTATATTCAGAGTTTTTTTCCTGGCTCAAAAACAGGCGAAGGTGGTTTCTTGGCGTGCGCAAGTTATCCGTCGTCACGTCATTTAGCCTTCACCGCCACCTGACTGATCCTTCCAAATGAACCCCTACTAGCTAACTTCTGGAACACAATTGATGAAATAAGTTCCTTAACAGACTAAGGGAGTAATTTTTTTTATCCAAATGTTTTCATATTTTCTCTAAGGTGACCCAGGGTATCAGCAAGGTGGCCACCTTAACATTGTCTTAAGGGAAAACCCTGATATTGGAGTCATGCACATTTTATACAGTCTATAATGCACACTGAGAAGCATATGAGATGGTAGTCCAGCAAGGCCACACGTTGGTATGAAAACCTGAGTGAGTAGTCATATACTTATCTTTTAATGTGTCATACAAATCAAGTTTACAAGTTAAACTGTACTGATGCACATGTAATCCGTTTTATTGTACATAGTTGTAACATCTCTAGATCAACACGAGAGGGAGCACAAGCTGTATGTCTCGACATATACCATGTTTTGGATGCAGTAATTTGCCAGGCCGCTAGTGTGATTATAGTACACACGAGAGATCACGTGACCGTTCATTATTTGCCATTGGTGAATTCTCTCCATTATGGCGGAGGGAGCAGTCGGCCGAATGGATTGTCTCTTCAATTCAAATGCATGTTTCGTGTCTTGAAGGGACTATTTCAAAACAGAAGAGATTTCGTTTTAATTAAGGCACACTTCGTTGTATTCTTTTTACGTCA